TTGGGTTGTCAAATATATGTTGTTCAGAAGTGGTATTCGTATGTAACGCTAATCTAGGCTTAAGCTAAGAAATATTATATAGTATCTAGACCCTCAGCGAGCCGTGTATGTTCGTATACTAGTAGAGTAGGTGATATAATTGATATGAATGATTCCGTGCTGTGGTAATGTCTTAGTTTAGTGTGGGACAAGAACAAAAAAGATCAGACAAAAGGTCGGACTGAAATCAAGCGTTTGCATTAAAGATATTTTCTTATAATTAACCAACCGCAGTCAAAACAGAGACTGAATCGTTGTGGATAATGCTAACAGAGTCAACGCACCCACAGACCATTCATCCCAATGGGCAATGGACACTCTAAATGTGTGGCTTAGCCAAAAAGTTGGTCGTTTCCATTATGTGGGCAGCAATAAAAGCCATTTTAATTGGTTCTAAATGAGTGAGGTCCACGCAATTGCACAGACAAGACATAATACCGCACATAAATGTGGGGGGACTTGTGGGCCAGGAAGGGTTCTAGCAAATAAAATCCCATATCAGATCGGGGGCACAAAGGCCAAATTATTCACACTGATTACATGAAGTCCTCGCTCGGTTTGGCATAAAATAAACCATGCTGGAGAAGTAAACCGTTATAATTACGATGTATTAGATGGGCGGAGCGAATGACAAGCAGCTACCCAATCGCCGAACCACCCACAGAAACAGACACACACACACACACACACATACACACAAACACACAGATATCTGTATACTATATAAAAAGCTCTTATGCAGGCAGCATATGGAGGGCACTAAAAACAAATTGGGGGTCCAAAATAGCACGGGGCTCTAGATAAAACGAAAATAATCAGCAAGCAGTCAGGCCGAAGGACTCGCAAACAGACACTTGCAGAAATTGTAGTGTCATAAAAATAAATAACCCAAAGGCAGCACGCAGTCGAGGGATGTGGCGTGGCGTGGCGATGGGGGCCGATGTTGATTTAGGATAAAGTAAGCAACAAAACCGAGAGTTCTTCGATAGCAATTTAAATAAATAAAATCGAGCCTTCGAATATCTATCTAGCCATAATTGAAATCACTGGGAAACCGAGTTGCCAACGTGATTTGCATGCGTGTTAGTGCGAGTGTGTATGAATAATTTATGCGCATTTAATTCGATTGTTGTGGCAGAATCACAAGAGGAAGGAAGTGGGCCAGGGAGATGGTGTCACCTGCCTGGCTGGTTGAGGTCCCAACATAATTTAATCATAAACATAAAATAGTTTTGTCATGTTTTATTATTCAACTTCCAGAAGGGAAAGGGATGAAGAGAGGTCCTTTTTAATGTCCTCCAGTGCGACTCCTCATCAACCGCTGGTGGGTCCCTTGTTGCGGCTTTCTTTTTATGACATTTGGCATTTCCCTGCCCCTTACCTTTGTGTGGTTTTATTTGTGTCCCGCCTTTTATTGAAATTTTTTTTGTAGCTACCAAGGTAACAGAGTTCCCTGACTTATCCCTGTTCCACTTTCTATGATTGTTATTTTGCTGCTGTTTCCGTGCATTCGGAAATAAAATAAATAATGACTGCCATTACGGTGCAGGTTTCGGTGGGAGGAGGGGGAAAAACGCCCCAGGGGAAAAGTTTTTCATGGGCCGCCTACTGACATTTCTGTGGTTAATTATGGCCACGTTCTTTGTGGTTATCTGAATACGCAATCAAGGCCCGAAACTGGATTCTATTAACGGTAAGGGTCGCCCATTTTTCTGAAGCACTTACACCACATAAAAACTCCAACTTTCTGCACAATTTCAATTTAACAGACAAAAGTGTCTCTAATCAATTTCAGCAGGCAGCTATTCCTCAGCCACAAGACCAAATTAACTCGGCGACAAACTATCCGGCAAAACGAAACTGTCACTTGGCATCAGGCCGTGGACAAATCGCTTGAAAATGCACGTAGGTTTGTCAAGTTGCAGTCGTGGGGTAAAAAAAAAAAGGAAAAGAAGAAAAATCGAACGTCCTTGAGCCAAAAGTGCGCCAAACCAACCAGCCAGAAAGCAAAAACAATTTGCGGCCAAATGAAGAACAAGCAAGAGAACATCGCGTGACAACACGAAGGCAAATAGAGGCTACAGACTACTGATGAGCTGCAGGGATCCATCTTGGCTGCCTGCCGGAGGCGAAGGGATAACCCCGGACGGAAGACGCAGCCACGCCGGATGACAGCGAAATGAGTAGAAAATTAACAAAACGCGCATAGATAAAGTGCAGGGAGCGGGGGGTGGTAATTCGCCCTGAAAAATATGCACAACCGTGGCGGTTGTCAAATGCAAATGCTAATACAAATTTTCGGTGTGTAGTTGATGAAGTTTCAGATGCAGCAGGAGCAAAAGCTTCCTCGACAGGATGATGGTCCTGGCGAATGGGTGGGTGAGCACTCAAGTCAACTTGTTAAAAACTTCTTCGCTACTTTAGACGACCAGCAGCAAGCCAGCCATCCAGCCAACCAGCCATCCACTCATTTTGAATGCTTTTTTGGAGACTCTTGTTTACCCAAGGCGGCGGTGTCCTCGTTCTCGTTCACGTGCTGGCATTTGTATCGATTGCCTCGAAGACTCCCCTTTCGTCCGGAAACGGTGAGGGAAAGCCACGACGGACACAGGAAGGGATAGTTGCAAAGGGGCGGGGGGCTGGGACTGGGAAAAGCGTCGAGGTTGAGCGCAAAATCTTATGCAAATATTATGTTTGCATTTTCCACTTTATATTTAACTTGCCTCACTTCACTTTTTGTTTTCGTTTGCTTCGTCGTTGTACTTTGCCGCTTGTTATTGTTGTTAAGACAATAAAGAAGTCGGGTCGAAATTGACGTGGAAACTAAATTGTGGACGTGGATTGTCACTTGCTACGATTTTAATGAATTCTATTGATTTTACTCGGCAGCAGTTCGAGAGCCCTTTCATGTCAATCGTCCATTCTTCCAAGCAAGTGGGTGAAAACTATCGGTCAATGGGTGACACAAGTGGTAATCATTTAAATATTGCATATCTATCCAGACGATTAGGCTTTATTTTTAACTCAAGTAAAGGTCTAATAAATGTCACGTACGTATGTAGGAAACTTTGTTGAATATGATTTTATTGTATTTGTACTTCCCTTTAGAATTTCCAACTATGAAAACTGATGAAATTGAACGTTCTTACAAAATATACTCTTACTCCATTAAACATTTAAAGGGTCTTACTATGGATTATCTCTCTGTCTTTTAGTTACTTTTTTTAATGCATTAAAAGAAACCTCCATTTCGATCTAAAACGAATTTCGTAATTAATAGGATTAACTCACAGAAAGACATGTATTTCGGAAGGCATCTAAAAAGCAAACCTTTCAACAAATCCTTCAAGTGCAATTCCATCACAGACATCACCATCCACAATGGAGATGAAGGGGCCACCTTAGACTCGCTCCTCTTCGACTGGAATCGTTGGCACAGTTGCCTGTTCATTATATTGGACACAAAGATAGTGCCGGGCCTAATTTGCAAGCTGGCAACACCACCCACGCCCACGTAATGTGCCGACAATGAGGCTGTAGCTACACATCTCCGCCCACTTATTCCTGCATTTCATGGAGGCGGTGCCAAGTTCATTCAGTTTTCCCATTCATTGATGGCAGCCGGGCAGCAAATGGTTGCGACTCGGTATTGTGGGAAAAACAAACACTGGGATTGCGGGGAAGTGGAGGCTGACGATGCGGCTGGGATGTGGCAGACTTTTGGCCTCCAAATGGAAATGGGAATACAACAGGGCGGATGAATGCTGTCGAGGATCAGCCAAAGTTTGTGTCTGTGTCCAGGGCAGCAGTGCAAAAAAAAAAAACGTGGAAACTCTGCCCCAACTGGCTGTTTGAGTTATTGTGGCTTTGTGTCTGATGCTGTTGCTGCTGCAGCTGGTGTTGTTGCAACTTTGGTTGCTGTTGCTGTTGTGGCAGCTTTGACACTTGGCAGCGTTAATAGTGCGTTGGCCTGCCCAGGATCCGCTGGTGGCTCAGTTTGTCGGCCTTTTGATATGGCCTCTCGTCTGTCGACCTTTTTCTTTTTCTCCAGCAACAAATTACCCAGGCGGTACAGACAGCGGCAACAACAACGGCCACGACAACGACAACAGCAACAAAATGTGGACAGTGTCGCCCGGCTGTCTGCCTCGAAACAGCCGGGCAAAGCATTTAATTTCATTTTTATTCAAAGTGAAATACACAAATTAAAAATGGCATTTAATGCGCAACTTTGTCGCCCGTCATAAGCACTGAGACATGTTAAATGCGCAAAATGCTGCAGTGAGGGGATCACTGAGGAGGCGGTGGTTTGGAATGGGCGTGGCACAAACAGGTGGCTATATATTTCAGCTGGCTCTCAGTGTGTGGGCCTTAATGTTTGTTTGAGCATCTCAAGAGTGTCGTTAAATGCTTGATTTAATGAGTTCTGGGCATTCGTGGTTGTGTGTGAGTGTGTATTTTCAAGATCGGAAAAGTTGGTTAATGGCAGGAGGCAGGAGGCAGGAGATGGTTTTCTGGGATTAGGAGACCGCTAGGAAAACAACTAAAGATGATGCACAGCCTAGGAAATCACGCATACGCCACGTTCAGCCGCCTCACAACGCAAACTAAGGTATACATTTAGCAAAGAGTTACAAAGCCAAAGAATTCTAAAGAGGCGCATGTCGGCATGCTCCAGGGTTTTCCAACTTTTTGGACGCAAAAAGCAATTAACTCTTCGTGTTTTCTTGGTGTCTCTCTATGTATGTGTGTGTGTGTGTGTGTATGTGAGTGGCGTGGGCGTGTGTGTGGGTGGTGTCAATGCGCGTGTCTATGACAGAGATATAAATGTGTATGTTGGTGTCTGTGGTCGTGGGTGGGCGAGGGTGTGGGTGCTCGAGTGTCGATGTATCGGTGCATCGCTTATCGACTAGTTTAGAAAAAGGTAGTAAAAAATGTGAACGCACTTGGTAGAATCTCACCTGTGCTCAGCGTATAGTCCCAGCTGGTATCGGGTTCATTCTTGTACACGTTCAATTTCTCTGGCTGCAATTAAATAACGATTGTCGCTGCACTCGTAATTGGTTCAATTAGCGGCGATCGATCGATCGATCTTACCTTGGCATAATCAATTTTCAGGGTGCAGCAACCGGCGTAGATGTCGGCTCCATTTAGATTCTCGCGCGCCCTTGTGGCCGCATCCAGATTATCGAACTCCACCATTGCCTGGACTCCATTCTTTTTAAATATGACAATGCGCAGCACTTGTCCATGTGGATGACAGATTTTGTGCAAGACATCCTGAAATAAGTTGAAATCGGGCCAGAAATTAGAAACGAATGCAATAAACTGGGGAAAAAAAAATTTGTATTACTATTTAACAACTTTTTTACTCAACAAAACTTAATAAAATTATTTTCTTTTTTAGAAGTCCCCACATTGATGCTTGCAATAAGTCTTAGAAACACCCTTGTTATTTTAATTTTGCTATTTAATAGTTTAATAACAATTATGTTGAGGATTAATATAATACAAAATTTGATTTTAAAACCTTAAAATTTTTAAATAAATTTCTCTGCGAGTTAGAATAAATGTTCATACAAAAAAAAATATATTTTTAATTTCATAATAGTTTGAAAAAACATTTTTATGGTCTTGGGTGTAAATTATTCGATAACATTTTTTCCACGTGCTTTAATCTAAATTACAGGTGATTAGAAACAAACAAATAACCATTTATTGCCAAATTGATCAAAACAGGGTGGATAATTAATTGGAAATATATGAATTTCCATTTAGTTGCTAACTCTTCGGTTTCAAAGTGACCATTGTGGACAATTTCACTTCGTTTGACTCCAATTTTAGTTGTTTGTTTGCATTTTGTCTGGCATAATTGGAATTTTGCATTTCGTTGGCTAACAGAGTTTGTTCCTTGTCAGCCGTGTGAAGCTCAAGAACTCATTAGCATAATTTAATAAGCACTTTCCGCTGTACTATGCCAAAGAAATTTCCCAATTAACATTCATAAATTTTCGGAAATTACGTTAATGAGTTTCGAGTGTGCTGAAGTGAGCCTGCCAGCAGCAAAAGCGGGGGCGTGTCAAGTCTAGGCCAACAAGAATGAAATAAGAATACCTCGGTAGCAGCGTCTGGGAATTGATGGCAAATTATAATGAGCATTGGCCGTTGGCATGGAAATTTATGGAAAATTTAAGCCGCCAATTTCTCCCTCTAACCACGCCCCAAAAACCCTTCCCCGCCGCCAAATCTGCCAGCGCCTTCTATTTATTCATTTTACAAGCGAAATGTTCGCAAGTCTTCGGTGGCGGGCTGCTCAAAGGCCGTAATGGGTTAAATGTTCAATTTGTTGTTATTCCCGCACCCTCGAAAAATGGGGTAAGAAGAAAAGTGGCAAAGCGGCTTTTGTCTTCGCCTATTTTTTGGGGAGCAGCAATGTTTTGTTATTCATGAAATTCATCGATAAGTCCTCGGGCTCATGAAATTTTGAATCTTGTTGAAAACTTTCAACATTGATTTGCATTAGACATGAGAGAGATGGAGGAAAAAAGGCGGTTGCAGAGGGTAGCTACTTGATTAGACGAAATTCCATCGAATTTTTTAGGTCTATGCAAATTCCCAGTGGCAAATTGTTTGGGGCAACTTTGAATTGGGGGATAAATGACTTTTGGTTATATATCGTTAAGATTGTTAAGTGCTGCGAAAGCATGACCATTTTCCATAATGGGTTTATTAATGACCTACACAGAGCCAAAAATATGAAATGAAAATCGATGGGCGTTCATTTTCGTAAGAAACATATGGGTTGATTAAATCGGTACACATTTTATTATAAAATTTTTTCTTGTAAATCAAAACCTTAATCAGTAGTGATTAGAATATTGTTTTGAATTCTTTCCTTGTCTTACACTTCCTCACAAGTAATTTAACTGATAGTCATTGTGTGCCTTCTATTACTTAATTATTAATGCAGCTGTCAGTTTCCCCATCCTCTCCGAAACCAATTTTTTGTTGTTTATTTTTTCACCCCAGTTCGCACACACTTAACACTTTCCCCGGCCCCTCTCGTCTGTCACTATCAACCGCAAAAGTTTTCTAATTAGTTTTTGTGTGCTCGGTGCGCTTTATAGTTCTGCATTCTGGCCATGGAAATACAGGAAAACAGAAGTGCCAAGCAGAGGAAGTAGACGGAAAGTGTGAGCTGCTAAAAGGAAATGGAGTGGGAAGTGGAAAATGTAAGAGACAACGATTCTTTTTTTTCTGTCCCCCTCATTTTCATCTGGAATGACATTTTACAATTCGTTGCAGGCAATGGGAGAGCTGCATTTAATGCGATTTGCCAGAGGTCCTGCTGCAGGACAAGCGTCGAAAATGGAAAAATCAACGGAGGAATGTCAGTGGAATAGAAAGGAGAGCAGCAGGAAACTGGGAGACTGTCGCTCGATGGCGCACAAAATGTCTGCAATTATTGTAAATAGCACAATCATCGAGCAAGTCAAGAGCGTCGCATCCTCGAAAGAAATGCCGGAAAAAGGGAAGAAAGTGTGGGTGGGCCAGGAAAAATTACTCCTGTTTATGAGATCAGCTTATTGAATAAATGAGGCGCGTGCTCCAGCACTTTCGCTCCGCTTTTCCCTGTTCGCCGACGGGTTGATGGCCATTGGGCATGTAAAAGGAAAGGATATTCCAGGCACTGCCCACTCATTGTTTGCCGGTAATTTGAGTCCATTAGGTGAATGGCAATGGAGCTCCAGAGACGGAGGGCAGTTGAATGATGGAAGCTGATTAGAGCAGCTCCTTGGGGAATCGTCAACGTTGAGGGGAAGTGTCAACTCTCGTGGGTCCTCGATTGATAAATTGAACAAAGCGGTGCAAGTAAGTAAGGCTGGGATCTCCGGAATGTGTGGCTTGAATTTACACTGAAAACGATCTAAATTTAAAAATAGGTTTATCCATATAAAACTAATAAAAATAATATCAATTAACCTGAACACTTAAAAAAAAAAACGTATAAACAAGATTTAGTCAATAGTTTATATTTCTTTACGATTTTTATTCAAACACAATCAATAAAAACATTCAAATAAATGACTGCCATATTACTGAACTGTTTCTTTGTCGTTTTCTATTTACACCAAAAACTGTCGGAATATTTCCATATTGATTCAATAATTAATTTTGCCAATAACCTTAAGCTCTTAAACATGTTATTTGTTGTGCAGTAAGGCATTTAAAAATAAAATAAAACCATGCTGGTAAATATGTTTTTTTGTTGTGCTTGTATTTACACAGAAAGCTCCATAAATACTCCAATAATAGTTCAACTTTTAATTTAGCAATCAAATATTTTCTAATCTGCAGCTCAAGCAAAAGATTTTCATAAAATTGGGAAAAGCAGAAACTTTTTTTTAGAACTCAGATGCTACTGAAAAGCTGGCGGCAAACAAATAAAAAAGTTAAACATTTCACGAGCTGTTGAAATTAAAAAACTAATCCGCAAGAAGGCGAGAAGAGAAATAAAACTGCAAGCAACGAACGAAGCGGGGAAAACAAGTAAAAACAAATAAACCGCCTCGAAATGAAAGTATTAATAAACCAGTGGGCGAGGTTGGATAGGGGATACGTCGGTCGGGGGATATATAGCGCGACTACTGGTCATCGGGGGCGGAGCGAGAAACAGTTATTTAAAAAATAAGAGCCGGGCTTGCGCGGCGATACATACGTAAAATTTTATGCGCACTATAACTTGTTCGAATGGCGGGCCTCCCAAAAGAACAGGACTGCGCGAAAAACGGACAGCCAGCAGAAGCGGGAAAAATAAATTAATATTTTATCTAGAGCAGAGATTCGCTTGCACTGGCCACGCCCCCACCTCCGCCCCCGCCCACTGCTATGCATTTTGTTTTGCCGTTTTATGGCCATCATCAAAAGCGCATTAAAATTTTACTAAGGCGTCATGCCGGAGGGGTTGATGTGAAAACGACGGAGGGGCGAGGTTGGTGTTCGGCGGGGGTGATTGTCCAGGCGTGCTAAATATTAAATCAGCGCAATGCCAGCAACACAACAACAACCACAACTTCGGAGTAGGAGAGGAAGCAGTCCGCCGAGTATACCGGGAAAACATTTTAAGCGGCTTTCCGCAGGTCCATCAACGTCCTGTTCCATCCGTATCACTTTGCCCCACAAAGGACACAATAATGCAGGAGGCGGTCGGCGGGGAAATCGCATTAAATATTAATAATAACGTGTGCTTAGTTGCGATATCAAATCATTTTGTGGTCAGCTATTGTCTTTTCATTTTCCACTTTTATGAGGCTGACATTTTAGCAGTTACCGATAGCTCGGCAAAAGCAATGAAATCATTGTGGTGAAATATTACCAAGTTAAATATAATTCGGGAAACAGAACCAAAGTAATAAAAAAAAAAACGTAGATTAGCTTGCTTATAGCTTGCCTAAGAGTACAACAAAAACAATATTTAATACAAAAAAAATTTTAACATTCAACAGAATAATACTACCTTATTAGTCCTCAACTGAATGTTATTAAATCTATTTCAAACTACATCTTTCTATTGATTCCAGATTTATAAGTCTGAAACAATTATTGTATTTGGGATTGGAATCGAACTATAAAAATCCCTGATTAGACTTGCAAACGTGTTCCTGTCGAGGAGTTCGAACAATTGTTATGGTTTGTTCAGAAGCTGGGAGTCATTGAACCAAATGCAAAAAGAAGAAATAACAAACGCAAATTGGAGTTCATTCGCCTTGCAATTCCCTGTTTTGGTATGGTTCTCCCCGTCGGATAGCCGCAAAATTCAACAAGTTTTTCGCTCGCCGTTTTTTTTTTCAGCATTTGAATTTCTTATTGACCCATTTCTTCAGGGCAAAACACAAGGCGAAAGAGTCGAAGCCCGGGCCCAAAACAGAACCCGAACCCGAATCCGAACTCGTCGTCCAAAGCCCATTTAAACAAGTTTCCACTCATTTGCAACACTTTCTGGCTGCAGCTGCCAGGGGAAGGTCGCTCCGTGGGGGAAGGGGGAAAAGGTGTGGTGCCTCTTGGCCAAAATGCAAGATCTCCTGCCCCTTTTGCAAGTGCCGTTAGTTGTTAGTCAAAAGCAAGGCAAAGTAAAGCACATAAAAAGGAGAATCGCGGCCCTTGAGAAGCAAGTAAGTTTCAACAACTGGAAAGACGGGTTTTTTATGAATCTTTCCTTTTTTTATGCATTTCCTTTGAGGGCAAGACTTTGCGGATTTGTAAGAGCCGAAAGTAATGCA